AGAAAAAATAAACGTAATTGTTTTGAGTAAATAAATGATTGTGAACATGTTTGAATTATTTCCATGAGGTAGCCAGTATCAAACAATCCATGGTGTAGATACAAAAAGAAATAGTGGAAATCTCTACATCGAAAAGGGATAACCTGTTATGTTCAGAGAACATCGTGAGAACCGAGGGAAATAAGGTAGGATTTGGTGTTCTTCTCAAATTTCTGGAGGTTATATGCCTTGGGGAACCCTTCCATTTATGATAAGAGTGTCAGATGAAACTCCGTCGAACACTACATGGAGAGACCTACCTGTTTGAGAGAAAATTAGCTAGCAGAGAACATAGCTGGGGAGGCAAGCCATAAGATGGAAGCTTGGTGAGGAGTCCGTGGTGCCAGACTCGATCGAATGCCTTGGAGATATCAAGTGCCACGGCTAAGGTTTCACCATACCTTATTTCTTCAACTGAAAATTATCTGTGTCTGTATCGTCAAATTTTTATAATATCATCAGTTGAAGAGATATTCAGTGCTGCTGGTTTTCAAATTGTTACCCTGTATGTATTTTTGTGAGAACAAACCAACTGATCAGCCCTTCAATGGGTGCCAGGGCATAAGGGAATTGAAGGCAATGAAGCAGCTGACGCTCTTGCCAGGCAAGGGTCTGCGACGTTGTTTATGGGACCGGAACCTGTATTCGGTATCCCCAAAACCTCAATACGCGGCTAGCTGGCAAGGTGGATGCAAGAAAGACATCAGGCATACTGGAACAATGTCCCAGGACAAAGACACAGTGAACTGATGGTTGGAACACTGTCCAAAACAGTGACTAACGACATTCTGAGCCTAAACAGAAGTCAGATCAAACAAGTGACGGGACTAATAACCGGTCACTGCCCCTTGAGGAAACATATGCATCAAATGGGCATCTATACAGACGAACCCATATGCAGACTATGCAATGAAAAGGAGGAAACTGCCACCCATGTAATATTGGAGTGCGAAGCACTAGCGCGTTGGAGATACAACCTTCTGGGAGCAGTAAACTCTCAAGAGGCATTTTCAAAGAATGATTTGGTGAAGAGGCTGCTAAACCTCATCAAGGTAGCGAACCTGTTCACCTAAGTCAACAGCATGATCAGGAATACAATAGGCCCCAAGGCTGCAGTGTTTTGGGCTTCAAACCCTGACTGATCATTCTGCTATTAATCAATCAATCAATCAATCAACCCTGAAATGTCACTGCGTTGAAAATTTCAAGATCTAGGGAAACCAAATCCAATCGTTACGAAAATTTCAACTTTTTGTTTCAGACCGGTCAAACTCCGCTGAATATAGCTCAGAAACTGGGCTACATCACCGTGATAGAGACCTTGAAGGTGGTGACCACAGTGACAACGATCACCACCACTACCACCACCAACATCGAAGAGAAATACAGGGTGCAAGCACCCGAACTCATGCACGAAACTTTCATGTCGGATTCTGAAGAAGAAGGTGGTAAGATTCTCGAAACGTTGTGTGTATTTGCAGCTGTGGCTTGTGTAGTAGTAAAATGGAAGGATTCTCAAAATAAAAAATTCCATGCAGTTGAAAATGTGAATATAGTATACAGTGTGTCCCACTTACCATGCTCACCATGGGTATCTTTTTAACGGTGAGAGATACGAGGTCGGTTGAATGACACCAAATGTGGAGTTTGTCAAGGCCAACTATAATGTGAAAAAATATTTTGATAAAATCTAACCGTTTTTGTTTTATACGCAAAAAACAGATTTTGATCATTTTCATGTCTCCTCCGTAACTTCTTCATCTATGAAAATATTCAAATAGGAATTTCACATTCTCTTGGCAGTTTTTCAAAGTTATTTCGAAAGAAATATGAAATTTATACCAACTCTTCTAGAATTTGAGATATCAGCACCAACTTTAGTTTTTCAAATGTAGGTCATAGCTCACTATGACTTAGTTACAAATAACTTTTTTTTCTCTCACCGATGATATGTCGCAGTAATAGTTTTGTGTTGATAACAACGGAGTTATCGTCATTCAAACAAAAACAAAAAATTATTTGGAAGCCGCCATCTCGAAAAATTCCATAATGTATCGTCACCGAAATCATGACCACCTGCCAAATTTCAAGTCTATCGGAGTTATGGAATTTTTGTTGAAATTGAAAAAAATGGCTGCTCCAAGATGGCGGACAAGATCTGGTCCGATTCCATTCTGAATTGGTCAGTGGGGGTTTTTGAGGTCGGAGATCATGATTTTTTTTGTTGAAATTTATAAATTCGAGATGGCGGCTTCCAAACAATTTTTTGTTTTTGTATGAATGATGATAACTCCGTTGTTATCAACACAAAACTACTACTGCGACATATCATCTGTAAGAGAAAAAAAAGTTATTTGTAACTTAGTCATAGTGAGCTATTTACTACATTTGAAAAACTATAGTTGGTGCTGATATCTCAAATTCTAGAACACACTGTATATCATATATTATTTGTAAGGAAAGAAAAAAAATATGATGAGCTTATGAAAAACCGGTTGTTTCATTTAAATAATCATAGGTTTGAGTCGTATCAGCAAAACCGTACCCCGAAAAAATCATTGAGTGCGGTAAACTCTCTATGGGGTAAGATTTTTATTTGACATTTTCAAAAAGTATAAATTTTCGAAATCGCTCTGTATCTGATAAACGGACACAGTTATGCAAAATCTGATTAGGCCATCTTGGGTAACACAAAAAAAAAAGTACATACACCTCAGGACACAATGCTATTTTTCCCTCGGTAATTTGTATCTCTCGGGCATCGCTCTCGAGCTACAAATCGCACCTTGGAAAAAAACTTGCATTACTGTCCCTTGGTGTATAATGTAGGTACTATTCTTGTGTTATCAACTTTTGCGAAAAACACGATAGTAGATATAACATTCACTTTCTGAATATTTTTTTTTGAATTTTGGTGGCGCATTCACCATAATCTATTATAATTTTAAATAGATCGCATCATGAACCAACAAAGATTATAATAATCTATGACGTAATTTTAATGCACAGGTCATTGAGAAATCACGATAAAAATACCTACGTTCAACTATGTAAGAATACTATTACGGCGACCTTGAGCTTACCATTTACGAGGAACTATAGAAATAAACATGACCTAGTCGTATAAAAACTAGGACTAACTGAAACAGCAGCAATTTTGAACCTTTCCACTTGCTAGTGCAAGTAATTTCATCTCACTTGATTTCTTTTCATCAGGTATGAAAACGTTCTGAATAATCGTGTCTGCATGATCAATATCTTCCTGACCTCAACTTGTGCTTTCAAAATGTTTCTACTTTCGACTGCTTCCTTGGTCAAATCAGTTGATTACATCACCTTTAGCTGTTAAAATCTAGGCAGGTTCACCCAATGAGATCATAATAATAATAATCATTATGTAACCTCGTATCTCTTAATGCCATAGAAATTATGTATTAGATTCATACATAGGTATATTGAATACGGTTCATGCTACTATTTTTATTTTATAGAAACAAGGGCAAAAATTCCCAAAAATCTAGAGAAACATAATTTATGTTGTCTATAAAACGTGATTGATGCAATTTCTGTGTTCCTTGATGGTCGATCCGAATAACACTATAAGTGTTGCAAATTGCGTTGATTGAATCAATATCTTTCAATTAGATGTTGTAGGCGTAATTTAGAATTCTGCAAATAGCCTAAGTATATTAAAATTAGGTTGGGTGGCATCAAATGACTGCTGAAATGTTCCATGAATTAGTGTTGTGGGTTATATTGAAGTTATGATCCATTTCGCACAAAATGTCATCGTCTAAAAATATGCACTTGTAAGAACAAAATAAAGAGTTTATAAAACTACACTGAACCTCCTAATATCCTTTTAGTTGCAGATTTCAATTGTTTCTCATGATGTATATCTGTCTATATAGAAACAATGGCCATATAAGTGAACAATGGAGTGCCCATTATTGTTAATAATTGTTATAAGTAGGTACTCAAGTATTTTGAAACTACAAATTGTAAAAGTCGATGTTTGAGAATTCTCCCATGATTATTGTATCATTTATGTATACGTAAATAATATACGCAGACGAAAGTAATGCTTCAAAATATAGATATAGTATATCTGAAAAAGATCATTTCGTAATGACATTTTTAGAAAACACATTTTATAATAGACACGTCCCCCTTAAGATGATCCAAAGAATTCAAGTTTGTAACTCGAGGAATTTTTAACTGAATCCATAGGAATACAAGGTGCCCTACTTGAAAATCAGAATTTCAGTTCGAATTCAATGATCACTACTGTTCTTCTGAACATCGACACAAAATAGTTATTCATGTACCAAGGACAAAAAACTGTCTATTATAGTCGAGTATGCAAATTGATAGCCGAGGCTTCAGCGTCTTCTCCACTTCTCTTCCAATATATAGGGGAATTATGAAATTTGGCAATAACATCTCTTGAGCTTCTTCGATTTTTCTATGGAATATTCCGCTATTACTGTCTAATCGACTGACTTATTCAGAATCGGGAATATCCAGGGCCGTTCTGGAAAAAAATTGATAGTTTAGTTTATAGCATAAAGTTTATCTTGTAGGTATATCGTTTTTGTAAACAGTGACAGGGAATTTTCCAAGGTCACAAACAAACTTGAAAAATATGATATTCCAAATTTTCCTTACACCTTTCCTGCAGTTTGAAAAAAAAACAATAAATTTTATGGAAACAAAAAAAAAATATTTATTTGGAAATTAATATACTTCATGAATAAAAGTGAGACTCACATTTTCAATGCTTCAGTTCAATGGAAATCGATTTATTATTTTATTTTCATGCCTGGATTTAGTAATTCATTTTTTTTGTGGAGGATAATGATCACTCTGTAGATCTTTTTCTAATCAGTGGATGGGGCATATTCGATTCGTTCTATTCAGTTGATTTGGTCCCTTATTCTCCGTACTAGAATTATTATCCGCCTTTGTCAGTATAGTTTTTGAAAAATAATTGTGAATAAACCTTTATTTTGTGTTCGACTATCTTGAGTCATCAAAATCGATGATCATTAACATCTGAACAGATACCCGATCCACTGATTAAAAGAAGATCTACAGGGTGATTATTATCTTTCACAGAAAATGAAATGACGAGAACGAGGCCTGGACATGACAGAACATGATTGATTTCTATCGATATAAAGAATTGAGAATGTGGGTCTCACTTTTATTTATGAATGAATTTGTTGTCAAACTTTCGTTTTTTGCTTATAATTTATCATTTTTTGGAAAATTCTGTGAAAGTGTGAGGAGCATTTTGAATATTTTATTTTCGATGCTTGTTTATGTGTTTGGAAAATTCCCTGTCACAGTCTACAAAAACCATATACAGGAGGAACTTTTTGATGTAAACTGAACTATCGAAATTTTTCAAAAATGGTCCTGGTTTTTTCTCGATTCTGAAAATTTCAGTCGATTAGGGTTTAGTACAGGAATATTCCATGGAGAAATCAGACAAAGTTAATGGTGACAACAGAAATGAGCTATCTCCACTCTGAAAAAAAAATTTGATTTTTTCCTACTACCAACGGATCGATGTCCTGAACTGAGATGTAAATGTTCCTCATCTGTCGAGATTTCGCTTCCATTTTGATTCTCGTACCTAATTAGGCAGTTTTTTGACCCAAAAAAGTCGATGGTGACAACAGAAATGAGCTATCTCCGCTCTGAAAAAAGGTTGGAATTTTTCCTACTACCAACTGATCGATGTCTCAAACTGAAATGTAAATGTTCCTCGTCTGTCGAGATTTCGCTTCCATTTTGATTCTCGTACCTAATTAGGCAGTTTTTTGACCCAAAAAAAACGATGGTGACAACAGAAATGAGCTATCTCCGCTCTGAAAAAAGGTTGGAATTTTTCCTACTACCAACTGATCGATGTCTCAAACTGAAATGTGAATGTTCCTCATCTGTCGAGATTTCGCTTCCATTTTGATTCTCGTACCTAATTAGGCAGTTTTTCGACCCAAAAAAGTCGATGGTGACAACAGAAATGAGCTATCTCCGCTCTGAAAAAAGGTTGGAATTTTTCCTACTACCAACTGATCGATGTCTCAAACTGAAATGTGAATGTTCCTCATCTGTCGAGATTTCGCTTCCATTTTGATTCTCGTACCTAATTAGGCAGTTTTTCGACCCAAAAAAGTCGATGGTGACAACAGAAATGAGCTATCTCCGCTCTGAAAAAAGGTTGGAATTTTTCCTACTACCAACTGATCGATGTCTCAAACTGAAATGTGAATGTTCCTCATCTGTCGAGATTTCGCTTCCATTTTGATTCTCGTACCTAATTAGGCAGTTTTTCGACCCAAAAAAGTCGATGGTGACAACAGAAATGAGCTATCTCCGCTCTGAAAAAAGGTTGGAATTTTTCCTACTACCAACTGATCGATGTCTTGAACTGAAA